GAGTAGAGAGGAAGAGAGAGAGAGAGCATGGAGAGGCTAGTAGAGTGGCTTAATAAATCGTATTTCAGTGCAATCCGAAGTCAGATGTAAATCTTTTGTTAAGAAGCATCCTTTAGGTATAGACTAATTAATTATGTGACTGTGGTTTGCTTATTTTGTTTATGAGTGTGCATATGGAGAGAGAGAGTGAGAGAAGGGGGGGGGGGGGAAGGTGGGGAGGCAAAAGTCTTCTAAATCTTCTTCAAAATTCAATTTTAGGTTTCATAGCTGACCCTCCATACCAATTCATTCCCAGACTGTGACAAAAATTAAGATGTTCATTATGCTTTAATGGGGTCTGTGCTCAGTAATCGCTTCATTTGGGAGGGGGAGAGAGAGTCCCATGGGGAATAGATTAGCTTAAGATTTATATTTTGGTGTAGATGTTTATCCCATATAATTGTTCTTTGCTCGGTTAGCCGGCAGCTTCATTTTGCTTGATTATGCCTGAGAGGGCGAGAGAGGGGGGGAGGAAAGAGAGAGAGAGAGAGAGAGAGAGAGAGATGGAGAGATGTCCTTTGGGAAATTAAATAGCTTAATGACTCATATTATTAACAATCTTCACTTGAGAGAGAGAGTAAGGCCTTATAGAATAGCTTAACACAAATGTTCGAGTGGGTTGTTTTTGCTCATTGCCATCTTAATCAGGTAGTGGCCAGTTTCATTTTGCTTGAGACCTAGAGAGAGAGTCAGGTAATGGCCAGTTTCATTTTGCTTGAGACCTAGAGAGAGAGTCAGGTAGTGCCCAGTTTCATTTTGCTCGAGACGAGAGAGAGCTACTCGACCATTCTCATTTTAGACTACAAATGTAATATAGATCCTCATGACCTAATAATCCGAGAGAGAGAGAGAGAGAGAGAGAGAGAGAGAGAGAGAGAGAGAGAGAGAGAGAGAGAGAGAGAGAGAGAGAGAGAGAGAGAGAGAGAGAGAGAGTACGTAGTACGTAGTACGTAGTAGAGTAGAGAGAGAGAGAGAGAAGAGAGAAGAGTAGAGAGTAGAGTAGAGAGAGTAGAGAGAG